CTATAATAAATGATAATAATAGCAAACACTTGTTTATCATACGCTCTGTCCCATGGCTATTCTAGGCTTTCAGTCTAGCGGACAGCCAGTGAGGACACACGTGGCCATTAAATATAACCTCCCTCCCATGGCAATCTGCCAGCTACACAGTCAGCGTCTCTCACCCACCCCAGAGGCTGACGGTAAACAAGGCTGTTGCATCTTACACACACATAATCATTTCAGTTTGGTTATACTACAGCCTATGCCCTGACTAGCCAAGGCTCACTCAGGAACGATCCCTTGCAGCGCTGGCTATCACTGGGAGAACCTTTCTCCTCTTTTCTCCTCTGTTTGTTTGCTCTCTATCTTTCTCTCTTGGAACACATTGGTTCCGATAAGGAACCTCAGTAGAAAAATGTTTGTCTGAACGCATCGAGGAACACCAAAACACACAAATCTTCAATACATAGTATAAATAGATTATGTTTATATGTATATATATATATATATTAAAAAATCTAAGCAATTAACTTTTTTTTAAGAACAGGATAGAAAAATGAAACAAAAGTGATGGGTTTTGTAATTTATGTTTACGCTTTCAGATCAGGCGTCTTTTACACGTTCATTTGTTTCCACCCTCGGATTATAAATACTCAGTCGCCACTGCGGAAACTCTGATGCCATCTGCTCCCCTCGCCAGCCAGGGTCCCGGGACACAGAGTGACCGCCCCACTCCGGCCTCCTCACACTTTGTACTTCTCCTTCCCTCGTTCACTGATAACACAAATGTGCTTTGAGCAAGAAAAGGTTAGATAAGCCACGGGAGCCAGCAACGCTTCAACAACAACTTGCAATTTATACAGAGATTTATATTGAGATATGATACGGCACCTTGTCAAATGCAAGGATTATTATTATAACAAATTGCATTTTGACAGCAACAAATTGTCAACCAATTTGCCTGAATGCAGCGATGTTCCATAATCAGCCGTGAAGTGAATGCCTGATTTTATCAGGGGGAGTTGTTGGCTCGAGTGAGAGAGAAAGAGAAATTCCCTTCTCTTTTTGAATAGCGCTGCAAGATCTTTAACATTCGCCCAAACGGGCAGACTGGACCCGGGTTTAACCTCTGATCTGAATGACCGGAACCTCTGAAAATGAGGCACATTTACCCCCAACTGCAGAACTGTATTCGACGGTCAGCCCAAGCTGTCAGCCTAATTACTGGACTGGAATATCTCCAATGGGCTGCGGCGATGATGTGGGGGCTTGAACCCACAACCGTTTGACTCAGACGTGAGAGCTAAAACCAGCTGAGCCAGTCCAGCTCCTTCGTATAGGAAAAAAACAAAGCGCTCCTGCTTTTAATGTCAATGTTACGTAGGTTTCGCTGTTACTTACGTTCAGGTCACGAAATACTCGTTGTAGTCCAGTGCGTATCCCACCACAAATTTATCTGGAATTTCGAACCCTACGACTAAACAAATCAGAGCAAGTGTTAGACAGACAGAAGTTCGGGGGTGGGGTGGTGGGGAGAGGGTGGGGGTTCATATTTTTAATTCTTACTCTTCCTACTCACAGTCCGGTCTGTATCCGAGACTCCGGGGGGTCCTCTTAAGCAACAAGCTGTGAACACATTTTTCCAGAAATAAAGCCGTCAGCTCCACAAATCGTCTTGCAAACTAAAGCAAGTCAATTAACCCGTGTCACTGTAGCCAATTCGGTCATCTTCTCACCCCCCCACCCCACCATCCCTCCAACCCCCAAGCTTGGGTGCAAACCCTCGACTGTCCAGCACCTTGGGATGCCCTGCTGACGTGCAAGGGGCTGTGTAAATGCAATTTTATTGTTATTGTTCATTGTAATTGTTCCGCAAACAGTCAATTAAGTGGGTGGCCAGTTCAGCCGGTGGATTCAAACTCCCTTCTCTTTTCCAGTAGCGATTTACGTGCTATTTATCTTTAACATCCACCTGAACAGTCACAGACGGGACCTCGGTTTAACATCTCATACAAAGGTTGACACCTCCAACAGGTTTCCCTTTTGCACCCCTGCCCCACGCACACACCCGCCACCCCCCGTCACTGCATTGGAGCTTCAGCCTAGACTTTGCGCTCAAGTCAAGATCCCCCGACCTTCTGGCTCAGAGCCAAGCACATGCGTCCTATTGAAGCCGTGTGACTATGGCAATTGTTCTGTTCACCATCATTTGCCCACCTCACGACTTTGACCATTTGGGGCTTGTGGTCCTCCAGAAGTTTTAGAAGCTTCTTCATTGTGCTTCCAGTTTCTACAATGTCCTGGAAGGTAAACAGCACAATAATAATAATATTCGATCCACGGCTGTTTGTGGGGACGCTGCTGTGTGCAATTGGCTGCCGTGTTTCGCCCACAAAATATACAGTCAATTCACTTTGCAGTGCATCCTGTGAAGCACTTTGAGATGTCTCGAAGACGTGATAAGGCGCTGTATCAAATGCGAGGATTATTATTATTATAATCACATCCTCAAGACATC